GTGTAATGAGTATCTCTTCTCTCAGTCTACAGTATTAGTGTACATAAGTGTGACAGTAACAGCAACTGGATTCATCATCTAATCTTCAATTCACGCCAAATCTCCCTATTATATGGTATTTCCATGATAACTTCAGATATTTTAATTGTACTTGCACTTTCCAAAATCAATTGTAAAAATTAAGATGTTAATATGAAGACATGATGAAAATTCCAGAGTAAACATCCCCATGCCCACTTATAATGATGCTGGTGTGAGAGTCCTTTGACTGCTGTGCTTCAGTCTCAACTTGTCCTCCTTTACGCAGAGACCCGGAAAGCAGCTCTAGCAGGAAAATTACTCTTGAAATCACTAGTGAAGTTACACCCTGCTGCTTTCAGACTTTCCCCTATGTTTGAAAGAGGGTGTTTAACTTCTTCTGCCACCCCTCCTGGATAAGCTGTCCATTTGAAGGGTCCAGGCCTAGCTGTCCTGAAATATAAATGGTCCTGTTGACTAACAGCTTGACTGTAGGGGTCATTGGTTCCAGGGACTTTTGCAATGCTGATCACCTTTCTGATCAGGGATGACATAACTAACCCTACTATAGCACTGTCCCTCCAGGGGGAGAAACCGCTGCACCACATGGACCAACCAGCTGAGAGTATCTCCATCCCATATTGGTTTTCTATTGATAAACTTCCTTTGAGTTAGCAAAATCTGAAAATTATTTTCCTGTCATTCTTATGTGTGTGTGTGTGTGTGTGTGTGTGTGTGTGTATGGTGCTGGGGATCAAACCCAGCCCTACTGCCATCATGTAGAAAAGGAAAAGGCCATGGTACTGTTCTGAATCTAACTCCCCTGTAACGAGGCTGTGATTCTGGTCAAGTGGCGTATCTTCTTTGTGTCTTAGTTTATTGGATAGGCTACTTGTTTATTGTTATTATTACCTGTGCTACCTACCTCACAGGCCATTGCAAAGAACAAATGATGTGTTTATATTTGAATGTGTTTTCATAAAATTGCAAAGGGCTATTTCACATAAAGTGGAAGTTTTCCCCGACCTTCCTCATCTCCAACTCCCTTCTACATGAGTCAGAAATGGAGGCCTCTTCTAGGATATATTCAGCTGCTCAGCATGGAGACCTACTTTTCATCCTTTCTTCTTCCTGTGAGAAATTAAGGACCTGATGCTAATCTGCTTCCTAGATAAATCAATAAGTCAGTTGGGTTGGTTAATCAGTATCGATGTGCCACTTAATTTTTCATACAGTCAGATCAGCCACAGAATTTGGGGGAAATATGGAAATCCAGCTTTTCACTAAGTTTGTGTTGTGCAGATCTGGTTGTTGGTGGTATTTTTGTGTGTTGCTTAATCACATTCAGATCTGTGGTCTGGAAAGAGGCTGCAGCCAAGTTGTAACAGTGGAGAACTTACTGCTCCAGGGAGTTTTCTGGGAATTCATGATTCAATGAGGTTAGATCCCATTTTTCTGAGTGATGCTGTGGGGGTGAATGTGCAAATTTACATTAAAAATTTTTTTAAAGAAAAAAGGTCCAACAGATATCTAAGAACGGAGGCAAAATTTGGTTAACATGTTCCTATTCCAAACCAACTTGTGTTGCTTTTTATTTTTGGTACCGGGGATGGAACTCAGGTCCTTGCGCTTGCGAGGCAGGTGGCAAAATGACTGAACTAAATCCCCGGCCCTCGTGTTGCTTTTTATTGCCTTATTTCGGGTCAAATTTAGAAAACATTTAGCACGATTCTCATTGTAGGCCAATGATTTCCCACTTGAGTGCAGCTAGTTCCTCTGCCTAAATATGGCTGAGATGAAACTACATTGTGGGAGAAGAGGGTTGAGCCCAGCCACCAAGAACAAAGATGGTTCAACAACTCATGGGAGGTGTAGATTCTGCCTTACCCATTGGGTCAGCACAGACCTGTTTGAGGGGTAGCTTTGGAAGACTTTTTTACTCTTCATAACTTTTTGAGTCTCTAAATGTTTTTTGGAAATGAAAAAAACTCACTACATTCCTTCACTGTCTCTCCTTTTAAAATTTTGTTTTTGAACCAAGAAGCTCCCAGTGGTAACCTGACACTCTATGGTATGCATATTTTAATTTAAAATGAATCATTGAGACTATAGTACTTTGCCAAGTGAAATCACTGAATTTATAAAAATGAGTTTAGTTCTTAACAAGCTGAGAAACATATGCAACAGTCCTCCTATGAATCCACCTGTTCCAGTTTAGAGAATGAAAATGACCCGAAGCTGTGCTTTGTGTTGGTTGGCTTTCCAAAGGCACTGTAGCTTGTATTGTTACTTGGGCTTACATAACGGTCACTTATCTTCTGAGTTTTGGAAAAACCTTCTCTTTCTGTTAATACATTGAATAGTTATATGATCCTAGGCTATGTGCTTTGCACACAGGGAAAAATCCATGGATAGATGTTGAATTTCCATTGCCACAGTCTGTCTTCCTCTTCTCTGGTTTTACGTGAACTGCTTACTTCTGACTGCTCATCCAAGTTTCTCCACTGTGCACTTCATCTAATGAGCAGTGCTTTCTCTAAGTTTCAGTCATTCCATCTGGGAAAGGGGAAAATAGGAATAACCCTGACTTCTTAGGGGATCTTTCAGGATTAGTTATGGTAATGTACGTGAATCCCTTAGCAGATGCCTGATGATGAATGTTTGCTGCTTAGATGATCAGTTCTTCCAACTTTCATCATGTTGGGGTTAGGGACAAGATTGAGGGCAACAGCTGTCAATGTTATGAGCTTACTAAAAGTGCAGACTGGGAACTTCAGTCTCATGCTTGTCCTTTAGCAGGGAGCATATTTACAATTTCTGTGAGTCAGGAGGTGGAGTTGTTTTTGTTTCTTTTGAGGTTGGATTGAAATAATCTCCATTCAAATCTCCAATGTCCAATCCTAGCTGTCTGATGGGATGAAAACTGGGTCTTCCATTTTTTTTAAATGAAATATTTGAAGTTGTCAGTAGAAAGCGCCTCTTTTGATCACTTTTTCATCTGGAAACATAGCTATTTTCCTCCTGTCAGCCTGTCAGAGTCCAATGGAAATCAGTTTTCCTGTTAGTTCGTATCTGATACTGCCTGGGTGGTTGTACTTGTCTCTGTAGTCTCAGCTCAATGGACCTCAAGGGTATCCTTTTGCTTTCAGTCTACCTGAGAACAAACAAAATCAAGCTCAACACATCAAAGATTTGACCTTCATCCTTGGCCCCATTGCCTTCCCTGTTCCTTTTTTATAGAGTTCATAATAGGATGGCATTCCACATGCTCTATCTGTGTAAGCAACACTACTGCCTCACTTATTTGAGTTCATGTGTGTTGAGGCCTCAGATTTAGTAGACACTTACCCTTGTTGACAATGGTGCCTTAACAGTAAGGAGACATGAAAACTTACCCATGTAAATATATGTTGTTCCTCCAAAGAGTGTTAAAAAACACTGTCCACTGAGAAGAATCATGGTAAGCAAGGGTTTGACATTGCTTCAGTCAGAGCAAATAGCATCTTTATTCATGATGGTTTTCCTTATTTCACCAGGAGACATTAGAGTCACAGTAGATCATTTCAAAACCCGAGTAACACTCACCAGGCTTCCTTCTGGGACTTGTTTTGTCCCCTGAGGTCTGAGGCTCCCCCATTCCATAGGCTGGATCTCCAGGCTTGCCCTCCAGAGCATTTAGTGGTAAGATGCTAGGGTGGGGGAACATTTGCTCACGGCCTTCCCTGGACCGAGGTGGTAACAGCTCCTTGGGAGGAGAAAGCCTGGGTTTTTTTCTCCTTTGAGATACTGGGGCAGACAGCAGAGAGGAGGTGTGACGTACACAGCCAGACTTTCCATCAGCTCTTGTTTTGGCAGCGTTTGTCATTTTAGTTGAAATTAAGGACCAGGGGCTGTGAAATGTAGCAGTAAAAGAAATGGAAGCAGCTGGGGATAGGAGACTAACAACTCTGGGCAGTGTCTCTGAAGGTGAGGCGGCCTCCCAACTTCCTCAGGACCTCCTGCAACTGAGGACAGGAAACAACAGGGACTTCAGTGGAGAGGCTGGGGAAGAGAGGAATCCCAGGCCAGGTGAAGGTCGGTTCTTGCCCTTCCTCTCTGGGGGGCTCACCAGGTAAGAGCTGAGGGCCTTCTCTGTGCTGGCACTGCTCATGGCACCCTACACAACCATGTCATCCTCATGTAGTGTCATGGAAATGTACTAGCTGAGGGTCAGAGAGTTTCAGCAACTTACCCAAGGTCACACAGCAAGTAGGGAGATATACTTGAACTAAAGTCTCTTCCTTCTATGAAGAAGGCATAGCTTTGTTCTTCCCTTTCCTCCACGTTTTAGACAGAGACTAGAATGAGAAACATTTGGGTGTTGATCTACGGAGACACACATTCTGTTGGGTGCTTGGAGTCACAAAGGAAGCAGCTGCTGCTTTTTTTGTGCCAAGGAGCTAGCTCAGGGATCACCTTCAGTAATGGAAACTGTCTTCCCCAGATAGACTCTGGCTTTCCACAGGCTTCTCTGGCTGCTAAAATAAAGCTAGACTAATCCCTCAACCATCCCCCATCAACAGGTGGGGCTGTCTCTCCAGCCCCATTTGCCAGAGTTGTGGAGAGGTCATTTTTTATGTGCAGTTCGCCCCTCTGGCAGCCACATCTCTGACTTGCTCCAGCTGTACTGCTCCTATTACTCTTGGGCTTGCTGTGCCAAAGAGCCTCTTCACAGTCACTGCTTTGCTCAGTTGCCCTCTCACTGAACTTGGCCTTCAGAATGAGCCTTGCCTTTTCTTTTAAAGGGCAAAGTCCATGAGCACAGGCAAAAATTTGCAAAGGCACTGTCCTACTTATGTACAGACAATCTACTAAAAACTCTGGTTTCTCCCCTCTACCCTAACACCCCAATTAACCCCACAGATGTAGCTCAGTATCCTCCAACCACAAAATCAGGGCTGGGGAAAGAATTAACCACATGAGCACTTAGAATTGGTATTTATAAAAGCAGACTTGGTCTGGGTTTTAAACCTCCTGCATAGAACAAAACTGACCACAATATATGACTTCATAGAACAAGACAGACATTATCAGAACACAGGAACACAGCAACACAATCTGTCCCTTTCTGGGAGGGGGTCTCCCCAGTTCCAAGTGTCTCCCCATTCACATTGATGAAGTTCCCAAACAAGATTCGGAACAGGTAATGTATCTTAAAAGTATTCACTTCAGGCCACAGGGCTATTCGAATGGACATTGTTGTTCACATTTCCTTAGTGGGTCCTTTTATTTTTTTTGAGATGGGGGTCTCACTCTGTAATTCAGGCTGGCCTTGAACTCACTATGTAGCCCAGGGTGGCCTTGAACTTATGGCAATCCTCCTATCTCAGCCTCCCAAGTCCTAGGATCATAGGTATGCGTCACCACGAACAGCTAGTGGGTCCTTGTAGATTAGAAACCATGAATGTCTTAAAAGAATTAGGTCAAGTAAGTGACACACAGTTTTGACAATGCCTTTAGGTGTTAAATTGACACAACCATTTAATTGATGGCCTTCACGTGGCCTATAGAAGCTGACAATTTTTATTTTATATCACTTTATTTTGGTTTTACTGTGCAGTCCAGACTGGTCTTGAACTCACTGTGTAGCCCAGGCTGAAATAGAGCTCAAAAAAATGCTTCTGCTTTCGGAGGATTAGAGTGCTGGCATTAGTGTGCACCATCAAGGAAGCCGACAGTTACCCAGGAATAAAGACGAACAGAAGACCCATTTATAAACTTGGGGCATTTTAGGATAAACACACAAAATATTTCAGATAGCATCTTTGTGCTTTTAAAATCACGAAAAGCTTACTAAACAGTCTGAACAAACTTCCAAAGTATGTTTTTGAACATGATGCAAATATTTGAGAGAAAAACTAATTTTTAAAGGAAGAATGCCTGATTCATTTCTCTAATGAAAGGTCAGGAAAGCAGAGGTGAGAAATGACTTCAATTGCACAGGCAAATACGTATACATGCACATGTCTGAACATCTGTTTGCTGATGACATCATACTCCAGGCAGCAAGGGAGCTCGGTCAAAGTGGGACTCTTTTGAGAGAATTGCCAGTCAGTGCGAGACTGCAACTGGGATGCTGAACTTCTCACCACCTTACTGGGGAGAGAAGGAGAGTCGGGTGCAAGAAGACCCAAGACTAAATTAACCGTGCGCTTTACAACAAGAGAGGCAGAGGAAAATGTGTTCATCCTGAGGTACCTCTGAGAACTTCAGGGAGAATATCTGGAACCCTGATCCACATAAGTGACAGTAAAGGGCTCAGTTGTGGAGGGCCCTAAAGTGGTCCCCTGGTTAGAGACCAAATCTCTCTCCCAGAGGTGATGTGGGCACAGAATTGAGCTGTGGGAATTGGAGGCCAAGTGCTGAATTTGCTCCGGGAACCTCAGTCCTGAAGGTGAGGCCTGTCCGCTGGATGTTGGTGTTTCTAGTCTCCTCGAGCTGTCAGTCATTTATTTTATATCTCCTGCTGCCAGAAGATTTTTTCCCATTTCCCCTCTCATCTTGGAGCTCAGCAGATAAATGGAATTACAGGGCCTTTCCAGGAAGGCAGAGGCAGAGAGATGGGGTTAACACATAGTGGTGAAATGAAGACACTAGAAAAAAGGCAAGCACACAGGCCTTGGTCCCAGGGCTGGCTACCTGTTCAGAGGACTGTGTGACAATGCCTGGTCCTCAGCCCTTCTAATGTGTCTGGAACCTGGGGAGCGTGCAGCATTCCTTCTGAGAAGGCTGAAGGCTGGGACTGCCATGACATCTATCCCAGCTGGGTGGGGCCTTGGGCCCAGTTCTGCACCATACTCTGAGGAATCAGGTCCTCCTAGGGCCCCAGAGAAATGAGATGGCCTTTGGACATCTAGAGCAGTGGATGTAGCAGAGGTGTGAAGGTGGCCATGCCAAAGTTCTTGGGTGGCAAGTACAAGTGGGTGTGGTGGTGGATGGAGGGGAGAGCAGCCTCATGCTGATGAGTGTCAGGTGAGGGTGGGGAGGTCCCAGGTTGGGAGCCGACTTTGCAGCTTTGTCCACAGTTAACGTTCAGAGTTGCCAGCAGGTTGACTGTTTCTCAGCCCCGCAGGGTTCCACAGCCCTGGCCTCCCTTCTGCTGCTTTTCTCGAAGGTTGGGCTCTCTCCAGCATGAGGCAGTATGAGCTCGCTGCATTTTTCATGAAACAGCACCATGATGGACTGCTCCCCCTTTTAAGACTGGAGGCTCAGAAGACAGGGATCTGGTCTCTCTGAACCACATCCAGGTCATCATCCAAAGTTAACAAAACCTAAAGTGAGAGGGATAGAGGCATGAAAGGAATGGACAGTTACAGTCACATGAAGTCCCTACTTTCTCTAAGACTCTCATGGACTAAAATTATTCATTCCCTCACTTGTTTTTACGTATTTTGAAGCTCTCTGAAATTTTCCATTAACAAGAACCTCTAATTATATAGTTCACTTATCAACGAATTTAAATAGAAGGGAGAGTTCATAATGTGCTATTCTAGATGCTGGAGATATGGCTGGGGTGAAAGAGACAAACATCTCTCCCTCTTGATGTGTACATTGAAGTGACATGAGACAAACAAGTAAAATGTAAAATGTCAGGTTGTAATATGTACTAAGGATAAAAACTAAACTCAGGAAGGAATATAGAAAATATGGTAAAGAAAAAAGTTTGACAGATTGGCCTGAGAAGTCTTACTTAAAAGGTGATGTTTAGGTCAAGACCTAAAGGAAATGAAGTCTTATTGCATGGAGTATTTCTATATATGAAATGGACCCTTACCCCTCATTTCTAGTTCTCTTGGCCACTACTTTCCCCACATGGACCCCTGAGCTCCACTTCTGTTGTCTCTTGTCGCTCTCAGGAAGGCAACTAGCCAAGAGAAGCCCTAAGGAATGTTTACACAGACTGGCCTAAACTTCCAAACTAGCCACCAGGGGGCAGCCCCGCTCCACTCTGGTGCTGTATGGCTCGCGCTCTCTTCAGAGGACAGTGCTGGGAGCCCAGGAGTCTAGCATTGTACAGAAACCATGACGTTAATTTAGAAATGTTAAAAGTATGATTAAAGGATGCTGGGAACCATCATCCTAGGTTGACCTGAATATGCATGGATTCTGGGAAAGGGTTTGGGCAAAACATGGAGGGACGACAGGCAAGAACTGAACATGCAGTATTTGTTAGAAGGCAATGGAGGCCTAGGCTGCACTGAGCGCCACCCCCCACCCCCTGGATCTATAAAATACTCATAAAACATTCAGTGAGACTGCAGAAGGGGGAGGAAAGGAATAGTCCAATGTTACAGGAATCTGAACACTAGCTGTGGTTCCTGGGGGAAATTCTGGGCATAGGAGTCTAATAACCAGTTCAGTCCAAATGTGCTGTGCAATTTAGGAAACTAGTTGTCACTTTGTGTCTAAAACTATTGACAAGTAAAAGGGAAATGGAAATGAAGATAAAGATCTCACTGAGGATACAAAATAAAAAAGAAATAAAATGATCTGTACATTGAATTACAATGAGGAACTGGATAGGAAAAATAGGAATATAAAAAGGATATGAAGATGAGTGGAAGAACAAAAATGAGAATGTAAAGTGAAAAGAAAGAGACAAAAAGATATGATAAACTTACCAAGAATGAGAAAAACAGGGCAGTAGCAGAGAGGAAGTGCCAGATGTCATGGTCATCAAAGAAATCCAGCAGGATACACTCGCGGTTCTTCTCCCTGGATTCAGCTGGGGTTCCCTGGAGGAAGGTAAGGCGGGACATAGGCAAGATTTTCACAGTTCAGCTGCTTCAGGGTTTGACATCCAGGAAACTATAAAAGTGCTACTCAATGGCTCAAAAAGTCAGCTTCCAAGAACACATACCTACACACAGAAGCTTATACACAAATGTTCACAGCAGAATCACTCCTAGTAATAAAAAGTGAAAACAACCCAAATGTTCATCATCATATGAATGGGCAGATAAAATGTGTGTATCTCCACATAGTGGAATATTATTTAGGAACCAGAAGACATGGAGTGCTGACACATGTGGAAGCCTCGATGAACCCAAGAAACATTTTACTAAATTAAAGAAGCTGAAGTAAAAATCACATAGTGTGTGATTCCATTTATTTGAAATGTACGGAATAGACAAACTTATGGAGATAAAAGGAAGAAGTGGTGGCACAGGCCTGTAATCCCAGCACTTTCAGTCCCACCTGGGCAATTTAGCAACTTAGTGAGATCCTGTCTCAAAGCGGGAGTAAAAAAGATCAGGATGTAGCTCAACGTAAAAGCCCTGAGTTCAATCTCCACTGGGGGGGGGGGGGACAAACTAGATTCGTGTTAGCTAAGCACTGTTAGACCAGGGAGAAGTGGAGAGTGACTGCAGTGGTTGTGGGGTTTCTTCGTGGAGAGATAAAATGTTCTACAATCAGCTTACACCTGTTCCCTGTTCTGTACCTCAGACATAACACTATTTTCCATGGGCTTAGCTGTCTCATTTATGAAGTAGATGTAGCAATACTCGGTCCCGGCCCCACATTTATTGATAGATGCTGGTTGTGATTTGAAAGATAGAGAAGATCTGCTAATCAAGGTTTTTGCACATGCTATACATCTACTTGGAACGGAATCATAATGCAACACACAATGAAGATCAAATTTGCAGTGTCTGCAGCGCTTACTGATTTACAAAGTGTTGCCCTGAACTTACAAAATGTTGCTGATAATAATGACCACACGGACTTCTTAAGAATTCATGTGTGGATACTAGAACCAATCTTTTTTGGCAAAAGGTTTCAATTTAAAGACTTGAAAAAAAAAAAAAAAGGTAAAAAGCAATACGTACAGCAGGAGAAGGAGGTAGAAAGGTTGAAAAGGCAAAACGGAGAGAGCACTGCGCAGAAAAGAGAATGGTCCCCTTACCTCCCAGCTGCTGAGATTCTGGAAGAAAAAATACAGGGCGGCGGCCCACACCACCGCGGTGGCCACGATGCAGAAGAGGGGCACGGGGAGGACCTTCTCAGAGCTGCGCAGCTGTGGGGAGACACACAGGTACTGGGGTGGCTCCACCCCGCCATCAGCTGGGGAGCTGGGGTACTGCAGTTCCCAGGCCCCTCTTACCTTCATGATGATGTAGAAGGCCAGATACAGCAGCAGGTTGCAGATGAAGATGCCCAGCATGTAGGATGCAAAGTCCCTGGGCCGATAGATCAATCCAAAGAAGGCGCTAAGGACACAATGGTGAGATATTGACAGCAGAGAAGATGGAGTTGTAACATTGTCTGCTTTTTTTCACTACCTCATCTCTATTTTTTGGGGGGGGGGATTTTACTTAGAAACTACTTTAACATACATTCATGTGTTACTTAATGATGGGTTATGTTCTAAGAAATGCATCATTAGACAATTTTGTGCGAAGGTCAAAGTAACTAAGATGACTTCTGTCATGAGGCAACAGCATCTTAAGGGACTGGCATTGAATGTGTGATCTTCCACTGACTGAAATGTCATTATCTGGTGCATGGCTGTAAAATTAACTTTTACTGTATTACATCTTCAAAACATTAATTTCTAATGATGATGCAATGTTCCCATAAGTGAATGTACTGTAAGTAACCATCTTCCCTCTCTGATTGAAATGCAGGGTTTTTCCAGCATCCTTCAGAATTTTTCATGATTATAAATAACACTGTAATGAATAAATGAATGCTGTCAGACATATTTTTTCCACTTAAGATTAGTTCCTTAGACTAGATTACCAGAACTAGAATTATCTCAATAATTGGTTTGACACATTTTAAAAAAACTTTGCTAGCTGTCCATTTTTAAATTAATACTGAAATTTATTTTGGTTGAGGCTTAGCTTTAATTTTGTTTCAAATTTCTATTTATTTATAACAAAACATTACACAACTCTTCTTTATCTCTTTATTTGAAATTGTTTTGTATAAATACACATCCATAGGTATTTCTGTGACTACCTCTACCAGGTAAGCACAGTATCAGGATGTCATCACACCTCAAGGGTGTATGAGCCCTTGTAGGCCCTGGAATCTCTCAGAGCTCTGGACGAAGAGAGGCCAGTCACCTTCCCTCGTGAGTGGATTGTGGCTTTGGTTTTGATTATGTGAGAGGCGGAGACAAGCTAGGTGATTCTGAGCCCTGAGGCCATGGTCATAGGGTGTTTATTTAGTGCCTTGTTTCCGGTGTCACCCGGGCTGTAGAGTGTGCATCTGAAAGGGTGGTCAAGAAGGGCACCACAGGGACTGCTGCTCATCTCATCTTGATGTGCTCCAAGTGGAGTGGGAATCCTTCACTGCTATGGGCCTTAACCCAAGGTGACCCTGTGTGACAAGATTATGGGAAGTTTCTTCCAGACTATGTCCCCTGAGTAACATTCAAGTCCAATGACAGGCCTCTTTTTTCATTCCTTTGTATGTCTTAACCACTTAACAGTTTACCCTGAGTGTCACTCAGGCAGCGTATTTGTTCATGGACTATCTTGAATGTCACTTGAGCAGGTGTCATTTCTCGCATTCAGCCAATTCTTGTATTGAGTAAGTTTGATAAAATTGTCATTTTTATATTTCCTGTTATATTATCTTATGATGAAAAACGCAATTTTTGGCCATCTTGTATTTCAATAATTGGACTGGTAAGTGGTTAATGTGGTCTAGGAGCATGGAATCACTTTTCTATCAAAGGCCACTGACCCAGAGGACCATATCAGCTAGGAGCCAAAAATAAAAGCAGCTAATCTTACTTACTCTTTGAGAGATCAATAAAATATCTCACATGTTCAAAGTGAGAATAAGTTGCATAAACTAATTTCAGCTGGCAAAAATTACATTTCTTATACTGGAGTCCATTTGAGGGGAAAAGGCCAAGGAGATGATGAGGGACAAAGAGAAAGAAAAATGATACAGGTGGAGTAGAAAGACGTAGACCTAGAGGGAAAGACAGAAATAGGAAGGAGACTTGTTTTCTCTCCTTCTCTCTCTCTTTTTCTCTCTCCTTTTCCCTCTCTCACAAACACATACTTAGCAAGAAAGAAATTCTACATAAAAGAATGCCTACAGTGGAGACTTTATGGAAAGTTCTCCAAGATAATTAAAAATGGTGCTGCCTTTTTGCACTTATTGGACCTATCTACCTATCTATCTACCCATCTATCTATCCATCTCTATCTAACATTTAATCTATTCACATAGATGTTTGTCTTGTTGAACAAATCTCGATCAATGCATCAGTGCTTTAGGAGGAGCTACTATTGGTGCACAAGAGTTTTCTATTGATTTCTTTGCAGGAGGAAAAACACCTTTTGTTTGAAAAATATAAAATTTTAATAAAGGCTACATCTCTTTGTGTGTGTGTGTGTGTGTGTGCAGTATCAGGGATTGAACTCAGGACTTTGCACTTGTGAGGCAAGTGAGGCACCACTGAGCTAAATCCCTGGCCCTAGTTGCTTAATTAAAACAATTATTGTACCAAATAATTTTCCTTAAATGAACTCTTTATAATGCATGATTTACAATATAAATAGAACAAAGTACCATGACAAAAGTCACTGAGTACAACACTTGTAATAAAAAGGCATAAAATATATGTACACATAAACTCCTTTCAAAAAACAATGGAAAATTTGAGGCTTCAACAGAGGACAACACACAGAGCAGGTACCCATGCAGATACAGGTACTGTAGTGACTCAGAGTCAAGTACTAGAGACAGGGGATTACTACTCTTTTGCCTCACACTATATACAGATGTATAGTACAGGTAACGATGGCAAACAGAATGCACAGATTAATTTAGCATGCACACCACGCACACCCGAACATCAAAGGAAGGGTGTCCGCAGGAAAGGTGCTGTGAGGTCTTCCTGGAACTGTTTTGTGTCTTTGTTGGGTGGGCTGGGGTACTTCCATGAATGACTGTGGTCCAAAGACTAATTTTAAAATATTACAACAAAAACAAGGAACTGTCACTCCAGTAAAAGCACAAGCTTGAACCACAAGGCAATGATTCCAGCAGGCCTCAGCCACTGGAACAAGAGGGACAAGAGGAGGACAAGAGGGCTAGAAGATATGGCACCTTGGTCCCAGGGTGAAGCTTTGGCCCCAGAATGAGGCTCCCCATTCCTTCATGATGGGTCATCCCATCAACATTGACAACCCTAAAATGGTGATGACGTTACAACACAGCCAGCCCTCAAGACCTTTGTGACAAATATAGCAGCACAGGGGGAAACTGCACCAATTTCTGCATGGGTTAATGGTAGAGCACCGTATTCAAGTCTGTCTTCATTTGGAGAAATGCAGTGCAAAGCATTAATGAAGAAATCATTAATGCATTGCCAGCTCAACTCCTAAGTTCAGACAGAACAATAGAAACTTCCTCTCTCCCTCTTCTGCATTTAAAGCTGCATATCCATAAACTGGGGATGGGCAGGGGATCAATTGTTTCATCAATATCAGTAAGGACTCTTGTTCAAGTAAGCTATAGACAATTTCTCTTAGTTTATGCATTTCAGATCCCTAGGAAGTCATGTAGTATGTATGGCAGTCTCTCACAGTCAGCATCTTCAATAGACAAGAGTGGTCATATTTTTAATAAATAGTTCAGGTTTTTAAAAAATCTCAGTACCTAGATCGTAGAAAATGATGATCAACCTTCCCCACTATCCTGAAGGCCCAATGGCCAATGCTTCCCTAGACTTTGTCTTCTTCTTTGGTTTTATTTTTCTTCAAAATGTTTTTTGGCTGTTGCTTATTGCTTAGGTCCAAGACAGATCACACCCACGGTTCACCACAGCTGAACTCAGAGGCTCAGTCCATCCTCTCCACTTCGTCCAGAATCCTGCCCTCATTCATACAATGAAAAATACTTCTTTATCAAGTCTCTAGAACAAGCTCAGACTTACCCTCTCCTTAATTTCAGATATCTTTGTAAGAATGACAGTCACAGCAAGCCAAACCACAGTGTTGCCAACATTAATAAAGACAAAAACATATTTTCCTAAGACTACTTACAAGGACCAGTTTACCAGATTCCCCACAATCAGCAATACCATTCTATCCTAGAAAAAAGGATAGAAAACACCAAATAAGAGGCTGTACACACTACCTTTTTTTAAACCTACTGTAGCAAAAGTGTCAGCCAAAGGAACACAATCGCTTGTTGAAAAAACATGTTCTGTGGGTCTAAGAGAGCTTTACCTATGCTCTGACACAAATCCTCTGCAAGGGCTCTGACTGCAAATGGACACAATTAGGTCCTTGTTAAAAAAAGTGGTCAGCAAAGCAGGACTTGGCTGATTTCCCCTAGGTTTAGTGGATCTGCGTAGCAGAACCCATTTCCCAGCGGGGAGACTGGTTATGTGTGCTGATTACTTAATAGGTACAATTCTGCTACCATGTGACTGAGGACTGTTTCTCTGGTTTGTGTTACTTGGTTGTCTCTATTACAACTGTCAAGAACAACTGTGGGAATTAGTTTTACACCCATTACTCTGGCTCCAAGGAGGCTCTGCACCTCCCAGACTCTTGGTCTCTACAACACATGGTCTTGACGTTAATGTTACTAAATAAGGGAGAAAACACAGAAGATTGGTCCATCTTAAAGGACAGTTCTCTGGTAGAGATTTATTCACAATCTGTTTCTGCTCCTTTGTATACTGCTTAAAACTTTTAGGTGCTATTTAATTGCACTTTAATTTGCATCTACTATTTAAAAGTGTTTTGCTGGTGGTCTGTCTCATTTGGAGGAAATGTCTTCATTTAAAATACAAACATTCATCACCTATTAGAATAGTCTAAATTCAAAACAACAACAACACCAAAATGCTGGTGTGGCTATGGAGCAGTAAGAACTTTCACTCATTGTTTGTGAGAATGGAAAATAGTACAGTCCTTTAGAGGAAAGTCTGGCAGTTTCCTACAAAAGAAAATACATGCTTACCATGCAATCCAGCAATAGCTGTTCTTGGTATTTACTCAAAAGAGTAGAAAAATTATGTCTGCACAAAAAAACTGCATATGATTGTTGGAGCAGTTTTCTTCATAATTACCCACACTTGGAAGCAACACAGATGTCCTTCAATAGGTGAATGGATAAACTATGGTACCTTTAGACAGTGGACTATTTTTCAGCTCTGAAATGAGCTATGTAGCCATGAAAAACCACGGAGGAATGTAAATGCATATTACTAAGTGAAAAAAGTCAATATGAAAGGTTATGTACAATATGATTCCAATTACATGACATTTTGGAAAGGACAAAACTACGGAGACAGTTAAAAATTACAGATTGGCAGGGGTCTGGTTGGAGGGAGAGATGAATAGACAGAGCACAGAGGATTTTTAGGGCAGTGAACTGCTCTGTATAATATTTCAACAGTGACTATATGACATTATATATTTGTCAAAACACATAAAATGCATAGCACAAGAGTGAGCCCTAGTATAAACTATGGCTTGAGTAATGATGTGTCAGTGTCGGTTTACTGGTTTTAATCAATGTACCATTATGTTGGGAATGGAAAATTTCTGTACTGTCTACTCAGTTTTGCTAAACAGCTGAACCTAAAACTGCTCTAAGGATCAATTAATGTAACAACAACAATAAACAATCAAAAGACTAAATGTTTCGAGTTCACACCCGAGGCATACATAATTCTGAAAATACAGATCCTAAAAGGCTTTTTAATTTTCATCTGAGTAAAACCTTTCAGCCTCAATTTTTTAGTGCCTGTAGGCCTAAACTCCAGAGGGCTAAAAGATATCATGTTCTTTTATATAAAAGTCCTGATTAGAAAAGACTAGCAGGTATTTAGTGAATTCTTATGTGGCAGGCCCAAATGTATCACTGGCCTGAACCCAGCACAGTGTAAAGGCTGGGGCAGTGGGGTCAGAGGAGGTATGGAGCCTTCTGAGGCCACTGGCCAGCAAGCTGAGACAGGGCTGGACCCAGGGCCCTCACATCTAGGCTCAGGTGGAAATGAAGAATTTGCTGAGACGGGGGAACCTTTAAAAATATATTTCAACCATCAAGAAATAATTACAGTGCAAAAAATAATTTCTCATGGTAAAAATTAAATAACAGAAATGCATAACATTGGAAGCATAAATTACTAATAAAAGTGATTAGAATGACCACATGTCCCAGTTTGCTTGAGACAATCCTGGTTTACACCTGCTATTCTGGTACAAATAATAATAGAATGCCCTTTCATGTTTACAAGGGTACCTCTTTGGCTGATTCTTTATATGGACCCTCTGTTTTAATTCTCTGCCATAGCAATGATCACTATTTTAAAAGATATATACATATATATATTTTTTTCTTCTTCTTCACAGACTGCCAAATATTTCATTTACAAAACTGGGATCATCTTAGCTTGTTTTTATAAAAAAGGGGAAGCAACATGCTTCTTCTCCCACCAACTGGATCCCAGCCACTCTTGGCCATCTGTCCCTTTTGATTTTTGGAGCTTTGAGTGATTGCCCCAATCCTGGCCCTCCTGCAGCTCCCCTACTCTCTGCGAGAAAGCCAAGGAACACACAGGCACATGCACATACCATGTAGAGAGGCCGGCTGCACTGCTGGATACAGTCCGTGTAGAACACCACAGCAGCCCGCCGGAAAATCCCCAAATCTGCTGATGACATGATTGCACGATGAGAATGCTTAATCAGAGAAAGTACAAATCTTGGGGAATGGCTCAGCATTGGGGGTAGGATGATGCTGTCTGTACTGTATTAAAGTGTATACAATGCTTTGCACCTGATAGATACATATATCAGAGTGTATATATATATATATCAGAATATATATATATCAGAATATATATATATATCTCTTTGTTTTTCTGGTATGTATTACTGGAAGGTGTGAAGATAGTAGGCTGGTGAGATGGAAATGTGTGCTTTGCTATACTGAGTCTCTTAAGGTTCTGTTCCTTTGAGTCCTGTGAATAAACCTATTATATCACATATCATATATTTCTATTATTAAAGTTATTGTTTGTCTTTCAACTAGGTTGTAACATAAGGGGACATGGCTGGCTCATTGCAGTATCTAGCACAACATAGGAGATACTGGATTTAAAAACAGATCAGGTCTAAGGAGGTATAACTTACATAATATAAACATCACCCATACTAACAAAACTGTCATGAGTATGACAGCTGTGGCAGGAAAGTAATCATTATCACCATGGAGGTGTAGAACACTTCTGTCACCTCAAAAAAGAGCCCAAGTATCCTTTATAGTCAATTTAGCTCATGATCATAGCAATCATTAATCTGTTTTCTGTCATTGTATTATCACTTTTCTAGCATTTCAAAAATGGAATTATGTGGATATGTAGATATACATGCACATGCACACATATATGTATATATTTTTTATTTAGAATAATTCCAT